CAATGTAGCAAACATTTGGTGAAAGATCAGATCTTTGAGTGTCACATCAGATTTTTTATGTATGCAATTCTATAGGGACAAGTTTTTTCTTCTTCTTGGCTATTCATCCAGCTGCACACACCACTGAAATTATTAGATTTACACTGATCTAAAGTGATCAGATAGATTTGCTGAAGCTCTGGAGGTTTTTACTCAATCAACCAATAAGATCTTTAAAGATTTTTGATAGCTGAGGGAAGCTCTTTTCTAGACATTTTCTCCTTGGGTCTCCAAAGTCATGGCTCACTCATAGTGGATCTTCAGAGCAATACAAGGTGTTATGTGCATATCTGTGCTATTAGCTTGTATTAATTTACTGTCACATTTATTTCAAAACTGGTAGATAGTTCTAGAAAAACAAAACAGAAAAATTGAATAATGTATATAGATCAAAAATTCTGTTCTATAAACTAGAAAGCTCTCCTGTGCAACTGCTTTACAGGAATAAAGGTACAATATTGGGATGATATTTATCTTTTGGAAATTGGAGCCTGCTTATCTCCTTAAATTTGCAGTGGTTTAATATGGGTATCTTAAAATCAAGAATAAACACGTGCAAGCAGGAAATCGAGCTCATTTAGAAAAGTGTAAATCTCATTTGAATTGATATAATACCTTTTTGTTTGTTTGTTTTTGAGATAACATTGTCATATATAAATAGGCATGCTATATTTAAATTCATTAGCAGGTAGAGAAGGATCAGTGTACAGTAGCACTCATTTTGGCGTGGGGCATGTTGCCTTTGCTTTGACAAGCAAGTTAAATGTTCTTCACCTGGATATCTAAACTGGGCTGAGGAATTTACTCCCAGAGTCAAATGTTCCAGGCTCTGCAAGACTCCTCTGTGTAAAATCTCAGTATGGGTTTGGTCTTGCCATGAGTTATTGGAATGTATCAGCATATCCTCGGGCTGGAAAAGGGCAGTTATGAGAATGTTTTAAAAGGAGTTGCTCCCTCATTCTTGCTCATAGAACACAGATTTTCCTTGTTGTACTCAAAAGTATTCTGTTTAAATCCTGAAGTCATTTCTTACGGTGAGAGAAAATATATTGGAATAAATACACCCATGAATTATGTCCATCAACAGCAAAAGGCAAACTCAAAGAGTGTCCCAGTGGCTCTTTAGAATGCAGAAGTGTTTGTTCATTTCACTGATATCATTTCTCTTCGTAATAATGAACGCACAGTCAAGAGAAGGAGAAAGTTTTATAGAGAATGTTCTTTATATAAGGCCTGTATTTATATATTATACAGTGTGGACATTTATCATATGTGACTAACATTTTTCAAATGAGCAAAAGGGATGTTTTTTCTGGGATTTGTCACTGAAAAGATAATTTGACAAGATTAACACACTCATTCTCATTCCTATCAGAAATGGTAATTGACAACCTCCAGGAAGGAACAGTATGTTAATCTGCCTTCAAATAAGTCCAGTTTACAATTATTTAGTTCATTTCTCCCACACAGGGGAATATTCACTTACGCCTTGTTTTCTCAGATCTCCTTCTCACTGAAGTACAGCCAACATAAACTATTTTAGAACTGGCTCAGGAAAAAGTAACTTTTCTTCTGAGCTGAACTCCCTCAAACGATGGATTTTGAACTTCAAGACCAGCGCTATTGCCAGTCATTTCTTAAACAGTTTGGAGAACCTCATCTCAACAGTAGTAAACAGGTCACAAATGTACCATATAAACCCTAAAGAATTACAAAGCATTTTAGAGTTCTGGCATTTGGTGTTCCACTGAATGGCTGCACAAAATAGTTGTTCGTGCAGCACGTTCATCTGGGATTTGACAAAGCAACTCACATAAAATATGGACTGTTCCACACTTTACACAAGACTTGGCCCAAACCAAACATTCTTCAAATGTTGTCAAAAAAAAAAAAAAAAAAAAAAAAAAAGGAAAAAAATGCTGTTTTCTTTCTTGCAATGAACTTACACATTCTAGACAGCCGTAATGGTTCCAGTACAAAATAATCGGTCTTCATTTTTCTTCATTCCTCCCTTCTCTTTTATGACTGCTCAAAAATACACAGCTGTCTCTCGACTTACTTGGAACCACTGGTGAACTTCCACTTCATTGTGAACTGTTCCCTCATTTATTTTAGCATAGGAAGCTCTGCTCATGCCTTCCCTCTGCAAATATAGACTGCAGAGGTCGTCCTTTGTAAACGCTTTGTCACGTGGCAAAAGCATTTTAAAAATGCTAAAAAGTGGAATCAGATTTAATCTATCCACCCTTTAGCATCAGAAACAGAGAAGTACAGATGGAAAAAAAAAATTGATGCCTTAAGTGTCAGCTTACAAGAGGATTAGAATTGATGGCTTTTAACTATGCATTCAGAGAAAGCAGTTAGTTGCCCAAACCTTTCTATGATTCTAATTATGGATTAGAAGTTCCATGTTTTGAGACTGTATTCCTGGCTGCAAAGTATTTGTTTGCTGTGACTATTCTCTGAGGATAAACTCGGTTTTAATGCATGTTTAAAAACCTCTATTTCACAACCCTCAATGAAAGATTCCTCTTATATCTCACCTCCTCTGTATATGTGCTATTACTAGGAGTTCCACCAGCTCCCCAGTTGCTGGGTCCAGTTTTGCAAGTTAAAGAGTGAAATCCTTTTTAAAATTAAAACAAAACAAAACAAAAACCCCCCCAAAAAACCAACAACACAGAAATGGTGGTAGGGGAAACCCCATTACAGCTCTAACTGCACGGCAGGAGGTCTGTAATCACTGCTGGACAAAGGAGCTGTTTTCCTCATTTCATTGATTATAGATTCTGTATTTTGGGTTTGTAATCCAGTCCTAAAACTGAATTGCTGCTCAGTATTTAAAACAAGCCGAGCAATCTTTCAGCAGATTTAGACTCTCTTTGTTTTGTCCAAAATGAATTATGCAGCTTCTGATAATCAGCTTAATGATCTGACTGGGCAAAATTGCTAATGCTTCAGCAGACACCAGGTGCTCTCAAGAAAGTTAATGTAAAAAGTGCCTTCTGTGGGTGGGAAACAGACGTTCTTGCAGGGCATAATATGGTTAACATGTATTTTCAAATCAAGCCTTTTTTTTTTTTCCTCTTTATAAAACAGTTCCTGAAGACAGAGATTTCTTTTTGCTTTATTTTTTATCAATTTATGCATAACAAATGAATAGAAGATTAAAGATAGTTTGCCTGAAGTTTCTACTCATTCAGAATACCTGTTAATTAGAACACAGCTTTTCAGCTTAAGCATCTCTCAGAAGAGCTCCATCTGCTGACACTGTGGGCAGCTTTAAGGAGATGCTTGCAAGGTAATTTCCCTGCATAGCTGAGGAAAATGCATTGTAATGTGACACGAGGAATAAGAGACAATTTCAGAATGGGAGAATTTACAAAAAATTGAACACGTTTCACTTCTCCCTGCCTATTTTTTGAGACAACAGTTCTTGCTTGAACATTAAAAAAAAAAATGTCCATGAGGAATGGTATTTAACTAGTACAACTGGACTGTCCCCATGCAGAATGGAGGAAGCCAGTGTTAATGTATTAAACAAATGCAACTAGGAGAGTAATAATAAAATCAGCAGAGCCATCCTTGGGGCTCTCATGTAAGTATTTTTTGACAGCAGGTATCATTACAAAATAATGTTTCTGATTACTACTGATGCTTCAGCTCACCAGATATCCTCACCATCCTAAGGAGCACTGCTGCTGCGGGTGCAAATTTATTCAAATGAGATGCTTTAAACTAGAAACGTTTGGACATCATCAGAGCTGAAGAGAGGTCAGACTCAAACTAGCAAGACAAAAAGCAGACCGCAGCTGTCAAAGGTTCTTTTTTCCCCCCCTTTTTCCCCCCC